ATAATAGCTAAAATTTTATTAATTTTGCAATATTATATAAAATCTAATATATAATAAAAATTATTAATATAAATAAAAAATAAAAAATAAAAATACCTATATTTATACTTTTAATATATATATATAATTTATAATAAAAAAACTTATTAAAAAATTAGTTTTAAAAAATATTTAAAAAATTTTATTATAAAATTTATTAATTAAGTTTCATAAATATACTATATAAAAAATTATTTATTTATTTTATTATATAATAAAAGTTTATTGAATTTTATAAGAATTTTATTTTATAATATAATAAATAAATTTACTTAAAAATAATATATAAAATAATTTATTAAAATTATATTTAAAAAATACTTATATAATTCTCATAATTAAAAAATTAGAAGATCAATTTTATTAATAAAAATATAAAAATTAAAAATTTTTTCTATATTAAACTTTATAATTTTATTAAGAAATGATTTTTATTTTTATATTAAATTAAAGTTATAATTTAGCATATATTTTTTTTAGAGTTTTAAATTTTTTTTGACAAAGTTATTCTATTATAAAGTCAAAACAAAAAATTATATTAATCAAATTTCATTTTTAATTAATAAAAATTAACTTTATAATTAAAATAATTCTTTCAAAAAAAATTTAAAAAACTGAAAAAAATATATTAAACTATAATTTATAAATTTTGTTTTGATATAAAAAAAAATAATTTTTTAATAAAATTATAAAGTTTAATATAGAGAAACACTTTAATTTTTATTATATTTTATTAATAAAATCAATTTTTTGATTTTATACTTATATTAATAATCAAAAGTAATAATTCAGAGACTAAATTTATTAATAAAATATAGTAAAAATTAAAATTTTCTTTCTATATTAAAATTTATAATTTTATTAATAATTTTTATTTTTATATTAAAATAAAATTTAAATAAATAAAAATAATTCTTTTAAAATTTTTCAAAATTAATAGATTTAGTTTATTTTTTATAAATAAGTAAATTATAAGAAAAATAAGTTAAAATATATTTTTTATATAATAAATAAATAAAATAATATAAATAAATTTTTTAAAAAATAAGATTTTTCTTACTTCAATTATAAATATTTATAAAATTATAATAAAAAATAAAGATTAAAGAAAAAATAAGTAATATAATTTTGAAAATAAAAAGAAATTTTTATTTAAATCTATATATTGCAAATTCTTATTTAGTAAATATATAAATTTAATATTATAAATTTGATCTTTTTTACTAATTTAAATTAATAATTATAATTTTGATTAGAAATTAGTCTTTTAAATTTTTAATATATTAGAATTATTTTTCTAATTAATAATTACTATTAATAATTAGAAATCATAATATTAAATCAGATATAGAATTTATTAAGTTTTAATTTTCTTGAAAATAATAATAATAATAATAAGATAAATATAATATTTTTTAATAATGAATAAGATGCAAAATATTATTATAATTTAAGTAATAGTAAGAAAACTTGAGGATATTATTAATTATAATTAGAAGAAAAAATATCTTTTTATTAGCTTAATAAAATTTATCTTGTTAAAATATGATATAAGAATTTAAAAATTATTATTTCTAAGAATATATATAAATTTTAAAAGTGTATTATTAAGAAATTTTTAAACTTTTATAAGTAATAACTAGATAAGTATTAATATATGTAAACATAGAAATATATATTAATAATGGAATAATGGCAAATATTTTGGTGAAAATAACTTATTATCTCAGTTATTAAAAGACTTATACTAGAATTTTAATAGTAACTGAAAGCATAGACCAACTAGATATTTTTAGTTATACTAAAAGCTCTGCTAATAATTACATGACTACATATTTTTAGCGATTTTATATCTAGTATTAGTGAAATCTTTAGATATATTAAAGAAATAATGTATATTAATATGTAAATGATTCTTTTTTATCGTTATTCTAGTTAGCATACTTATGAAATAAACCAGTCTCACGAATCTCACAGCGCAAATTATATTACAGTTTAAGTTACAACACTAGCCATATAACAATATGACCAACTTGAAACGTTTCTTGAGCAATAAGTGTATAAGGCTTAATAAGAATATATAAAATCTTTTCCATTTTCTAGCCAAAAATCTTTCCACTTTCTTATAATAGATTATTTTTATGTTAATAAGATAATTTTTTCTAAGCTATTTGTATGGGTACACTAATCATGCAAAAAATTTCGTTTCTATTATTGAAGTGATAGAGTCTCTGATTATGTGTGTTGTGAGACTCAACGAGGCCAGTACTTTGACGAAAAAATAAGCAATTCACCAATAGTTTTAATATAGTCTTCTTAGATATAGTTATCGTTTTTCGAGACAGCCCAGGATCTGACTGTTACCTCTCTGCATTTTATTCTTTTTACCATCGCGGACGTGATCGTTAAATTATTAAACATAATTATATTCTGGCTTCGAGCCTGCAAGATGAAAGTTATACAAAAGTTTCTAAGTAATAGGACCTTCAACTTATATATTTGATCGACATTGATCTAACATCTATAAATCGCTAAATATATCTGATTTTGAAATCTTTGTCATTCTCGACAAAAAAGATAAAACATTACCAAAACCCTTTTAACATTCATCCTGAATATGACATGAAGTATATTCAGACATATATTGAAAATTATTTTAGTTTTACTAGTGATCGATACGAGAAAATTATTTAATACTGAAAAATTATATGATAAACTGTCAATCGTGAGACAGGATGAAAATCTTATTTAGTGGGTAGTGCGAGTTAGAATCGCTCTTCAAGATTAATTAAGAGAGAAAAAATTTAGTATATAGCATCAATAGTATTTACTTGTAGCTTATTCTGAAGATTAAGCTGGATTATAATTACTAATTACTCCAAGCCATTCAAGAATGGAATTGCGATCTGCTTTGGTTGCTGGAAGGTAATTTGTGTTAATGTCAATGTGAAACCTAAACAACTGTTTCATTATTATAGACAAAAATTGTCATGGCAAAGAAAAGGGACTGTCACGTGTTATTTCAAGAGATAAACCAATCAAATCGCAAGACATAAAATATTAATAACATTTCGTATCTAGTGCGCATTACAATTTATAGTAAATTTCACAAGGAACATTTTTTGTAATAACACACTAAGTACAAAATTTCGAGATTAAGCTATTTCAAAATTACCGCTTGTTTTGAATTTTTCCGTTCTTGCGATTTGATGGCTAGGGTACTAGACAAAGATTTGTGGAAATTCTCGAATCTAGTGATCTGATACGGGATCATTGGAATCATGTGTGCTCCAAACCTAAAACCGATTTTGGACATACAAAGGGCATTTAGGCGATTTAGAGAAATAGAGCTATCAAAAATGCACGGATTACCTGGAATAGCTTGACAAATGATAATGCGACTATTGAGGATAAATATTTAAGGTTAATTCCGAAAAAGAAAGAAATCTCAGAGACTTCTTATACTGTGTGGACAATGGTTCCGAATTAAAGATCTACTGTATCTTTGCATGCTAGTATTTTATTGACAAATATTATACTCTATGCATTATGGATAAAAGCCAATTACGAAACCGATGGCAGGCACGGTATTCTTATTCGATTTATGTATCTTTGACACTAGCTCTGCTATACTATTTATATAATGTTTTTAGACAAAGGTAATTGTTCATATGCTATTCTTGAGATCACGATTGGGTATCTTTTTTTGCTTATATTACTTCATAATTTTTCAGCAGGCAGGACATTCACGTGTCCCCACCTTCTCGTAACTGTGTTACTTGAAGCTTCGGAGAAGAGAGTATAAAATACTCAGCCAGATTAATAGGAGTCAAAGACGCCGCATTTCATGCGATCATTCATAGTTACTTCATTGCCAAGGACGATCATTTATTTGCTTCTGCAGCAACCCAGGTAGAAGAGAATCGATGTGAAATAGAAATCTATGAAGTGTATACTCTACAAAGTAATAATAATTGGATTATAATAGCTGATTTATATTATTTACTAGGAAATGGTGAGTCCGGAGCGATGAATTTTTTAATTGCTTTATTTATTTATAATCAGTGACAATCGGGAAATTCCACGTGACAATCAAATTTGTTATAGTCCTTCGCTTACAATAACTTTAATTTTAATTATAATTATGTTACATCGAGGATCCATGATCTTATTGATAATTGTCATTGTAAATTGGCTAAATGATCTTGTAAAAGTTTATCATATATCAAATAATTATAGAAAGAGGAATACGCAAGTAAAACTTTGTGGATTCTGTGACTATATCTACCACTATTCTTAATACATAATATAAAACAGAGCTTGATAGAGATGTTCGCAATATTCTTCTTCACTATTATACTAAAAACGAGTCTACTCCCTATTTAGTAATATGACGTTTTATTAGGAAATGATAGGCTCTAATATAGACGTTTTTAGTTTATAGTTACTGTAGATCATTAGCTTGCGCATTTGTCGATCCCGACGATACGGAGAATATATTTTTGGCAAGTAACTTATGACCCCTGAAATTTCTTTGTGGCGTTTATCTCATAGTTTCACGAATTTCCAACTCCCATGCGCCTAATAAAACTAGGAAACAACAAACAATACTGATACAACAAACACTTTTAAAATTTATGCGTACTGCCGCCTGCTTTCTAAGAACCTGTTTCGCATTTTCTGCTCATCGGCTGTGCCAACTACGACGCTTCGCTTCTATATTCACCTGCTCACACATTATACATATACACAAATAAGCGAGTTGCTTTTTTTGAAAATTTTTGTGTTTCGAGACCATTTTTTCTCTTTCGACCTCCTAGTTCTTAGGAATAAAAACAACCAAAATTAATTGCCTTTTTGTTTGTGTTTACATGGTTTGATAAAAATATTTGTAATAATATACAATAAAACGAAAAATAAAAGTGATATCAAAATAGAAGTCTATAATAAATAATTCCATTATGACTACGGCCTCAGCGCCTGCAACATCCATTGAACCTGGCGATCCATTTATTCGACACACAAAGAATAAGATCGCCTCGTTATCAAATAAAAACAAAGAGGTAATTTGTTAAACAAAAATTGCTTCTTTGAGCTATTAATTATTCGATATTTTAATTCGGTCTGCAATTTCAAAAAGTTTATTGTTTATTGCATAAAGTGCTAAATTTACACACACTTTGATTGGGTCTCAATATGTAGATGCTCGACGATTTGAGTAAACTATCGCAAAATACATCACAAGCATTAACCGCTATAAATATGATACCACCACATCTAAATAATTCCGAGAAAGATATTGATAAGTTAATCAATGGATTAAAATTCAAATCACGAAGAAATAGTTTCCAGCAATCATCATCTATTCCACGAATTGATTTATCGTCGAGTAATAATTCACTGTATGTCTTGGAGGTTGATGATGAATTAAAGAATGGAACAGAAACAATTTTAGAAGAAGAAGAAGAGGAGGAGGAGGCGGAGGAGGTAGACGACCAAGAAATAATATCAACAGGAAGAAATTCTTTAAAATCAAGTACGATTCGATACAAAGAATCAAAATCGGACTTTAATTACAATGCGGGTGAATTAGATTGGAAATATCTATCAGCAGAAACTAATGCTTTAGATTCGGAGAATGCTAATAACGAGAATTTGAATAATGATGACGATAATAATGATGTCGAAAAAGAAAGAGATTCAGTTGGCCGATGGCGCAATAGTAAAGTTCATCCCCATTTAACAATAAGTACAAAACCAATCCAAGAAGCAAGTCGGCGATTAATTACCCCCGAATCATCTGATTCAGAGTTTGACCTATCAAGTGTACACATTGCATTATCGCCTTCAATATTTAATAATAAAAATTCTGGACGTATTCGACCGAGGTCATTGTCTGAATCTGGAACTAAAATAGGCAACACTCGACGAGATCGTTCATCAACTGTGGCATTTTCTTCACTTGATGAGGTTAACGAAGAAGACACCTCTGCATTATTACCAGAATTCGTGGAATCATCTTCGAAGAATCTTAATCGGTTTAATGAGAATGAAAAACGCTCGTTGATCAAGCCTTTAGGATTATCAAATGGCAGAAATCGGAGTTCTATGCAAAAATTTCTGGAGGATTATAGTTTAGCAGGTGAAACTTTTAAATCAACTAAACTTCATCGTCGAGCAATCGATGATTCATTATGTCTACCTGGTGACACTGCTGATGATAATAGTAGTATTCGTTCTGATAATTCTTTACTTGAAGAATTGAGCGCCTTAAAGAATAGAGTAAAAAGATTAGAAGCAGAGCATGCAGAACGCGCAAATATTATTATGGATAATGGTATGAAATTTAATTCTTGGAGTTTTATATATTAAATTAGAGATAAATAACAATTTTATCTTTGAAATTCAGGTGATCGACGTAGAGATCGGCAATCAAATACAGAATCGCTAGCATCACCTAGTGTGAATTCACAAGGTTCTATTAGTCCGACAACTACTAATTCATCAAGAAATTCTTTCATTCCTTCGGCACAACATCAAAAACATCTTCAAAATGCTTTTGATTTTTTTGAAAAATCTTTTAGCACAACAACAAATCAACAGAATAACGGTGATCTATCACCGCCACCTTCTCATTCAATGGCAATGGTTGTATCAGCTGCACAGCAGCTGAATCAGAAGTTGCGTGGCCTTTCATTGCAAAATGAAATGAATAATGGACAATCTACAGAAAGAACAATAAAAGATTTATTAAAAACCAGTGATGAACAAATTCGTAGTTTAACAGAATGCTTATTAGCATTGCCGACATTAATACCAAAGCCATCACCACTTCCACACCCACCTTCATCAACAATACAAACGAGAAAGCCTGTATATGAACATAATCAGTACAGTTCACGATATAAGCAAAATTTGAGTGATACTGCACTCCATCAAACAAATAATAATGTGCGAAATGGAAGATCAATTTCCCCTAACAACAACCAAATACCTGGACAGTTATCGATGCAAGATTCAAACATAAATACAGAACATTCAATACAAGGAATTTTGCCAATACCAACAAATGAACAATCATCGCCACCACTTTCTTATTATTCACGTCAAAATAATAAAAATTCACAGCCACCATCACCAAAATTAGGACCAGAATATGTAAATGATTCTTCACAGATATCGGCTATCTCGCGAACACAAGATTACCGAGAAAGACGACGACGTTTTTCTGGTGGATCTCATGGTTCACATGGATCTTTTTCTGGTACACTTCCCTCATCTTCACCTTCGCCACCGCCACAAGCAAATCCATCACCTTCTCATCAAAATGATCAACAACCTCAAACATCTTCAAATTCAAAATCCTTTATTGATAGAGAACGAAGATTCACTCATCGTTACAATCTTTCCTCATCAAGCACTGCGAGCAATGGCTATAACAATCAGAGTAGCAGCAATAGCGTCGTTTCTTCTCCAACCACCACCACTATTCCAACTAGGATAGGGACAAGAATTTCTTCTACAATAACTCGTAATAATGAAGATTCGTCCTCTCATCCGCTTCCACGTGTATATACAACGCGTATTTTCTCCGAAGATTCTAATAACAATTCTAGTGGAATATCCGGGAGAACACAGACACAAATACGAAGTTATGATTATACTCGTCGATACCAATTTGATGGAGCTCATGGTCCATCAGAGAGAAATTTCGAGAAAAGAATGTCTAGTGGTAGTAATTATAATAATAATAACATCAATGATAACCATTCACATTTTGAGACATCTGATAACCAAGAACGCAAGCGCGTTTCAAGTAGCATCTCAAATAGTATCGCTTCGCATATAAAGCGGAGGGACATTGCATCAGAAAATGAAGCAAAATTTGAAACCGAGAATGGAGCAAGCAATGATGGTGGGGATGTGGTAGCAGAAAATGGTACCAGTGCAGCCGGAAATAATAACAATGGCTATTCATAGCGAATAAAAGCTCTATTATTTTTGGGTTTCTTTTCCATTTCGTATTCATGTTGTTGGCAAGCTGGCCTTGACATGTAATGCTCTTTAATATAAATTAGGTTATTAGTATTAATGACAGCATTATTATTTTCTCTGTAGATAATTTTTTTCTTTGCCTTTTTATTATTTTCATTATTTACGGATATCTTGAAATCATTGATGTTTTTGCACATTGAGATTATCAGTGTAGTAAATACATAACTCAAATTTTCATATACATAGGATATTAATTAATTTGATTATTATTTTATTAATCCCATATCATATATTAAAATTCCACCCTGCCACTATTATCATTCCCTTTTAAAAATATTCAAAAACTTATATCACATCATTCGTTCGATCCCGATTTTTTTAGCAAGAATATTGATGACGGAAGATACTAGAAAAAAACTTTTGTCAGGAAAATTAGCAATATACTTTGTAGTCCTGACTAGCTGTATCACTTCAAAAAGAAACTATTCTTTGTATTTATACCTTAAAATATTTCAGAAATTAAAATATATACGCAATGATCTATCCGATAGTATCTAATCCACCCATCCATTGTCTCAATACTTGAGGAATTATCACTTTACCATCACTCGTTTGAAAATTCTCCATGATTGCAATAATAATACGTGGAACTGCAACGGCCGTCCCATTTAGTGTATACACAAATTCAGTTGATGTACCTGTTGTGGATACTGGCCGATACCGGATATTTAGCCTGCGAGATTGATAGTCAGTACAATTTGATGCAGATGATATCTGGAAAATAATATTATTAAGCTGTAATATAAATCGTTAAATCCAAAACAATGAATTTAATGTATATTACTTCGCCCCAACTATCGCGTCCTGGCATCCATGCTTCGATATCGTATTTTCGAAAAGCATTGGCTCCTAATTCTTCAGTTGGCATATCTAGCAATCTAATAAGAATATTTAATTTTCATTATTTTAAGAATTTTAATTTACAAGGATTTCTAACATAAAAACCTGAAACACAATCCTAAATCATTGAGAATCTCCTCTTGTAAAGCAATAATCTCATCAAAAACTATTTCACCATCTTCTGGTCGAGTCAATGCAAATAATTCTACTTTGCTAAACTGATGCACTCGATATATTCCTCTGGTATCAGCACCACGAGCACCAGATTCCGCACGAAATGCTCTTCCAAATCCGACCATCTTGATCGGTAACTGTGACTCTAGTAAGATTTTTCCGGCGTAAATACCTGCGAGTGGTATTTCGGCTGTTGCAGAAAGCATCAATCTTGGTGAAGAAAGATTGTGATTAGAAGCAGAATCCGAAATTGATGTACTTAAAAAATAGTTTTGGGCGTTTTCCTGAGTTCGCGGGTTAAACCCACATGCATGACTAAACTCTGTTCTAATTGCGTCTGGTGTGATAATTGGGGTGAATCCTTTATAAATCGCCTTTTGAATCGCGTATTGAATCAATGCTAATTCGAGTAATGCACCGGCATTACGAAGATAATACCAACTGGTTCCAGTAACATTTGCTGCAGATTCTAAATCTATAAGGTCATGTTTGTTTGCAATTGTCATATGATCTTTAATTGGGAAATTTACAGATTCGCGCGTTAATTGTTTACCAATCTGCTTTAGAACTCGAGCCTTTGATTCATCACCAATAGGCACATCTGGATGAGTATCGTTTGGAATATGAATTGCTTCCTGAAGAAGCAACTGTTCTATTTCGACAAGTCTTGATTCTTTTTGATATATTAATTCTTTTAGCTTTCGACCTTGATTTTGTAATGAGACTCGTTCTTCTGATAAATTTGAAGAGGAGGACGAGGGAGATGAAAGATTTTTGATTGATTTTGCTATCTCGTTGCGTTTATTCCTTAATGAATTCATTTCGGTAGTGATATCACAGAATTCATTGTAAAGTTGTGCCACTCTATAAACATCGACATTTTTTACATTACGATTTCGTATGTTTTGTGCTATCGAAGTGGCATTATCTCGAAATTTTTTGTAATTGAGATGAGGACAAAGAAATTTGAAAGGTTGTGATGTTGCTAACGTTAATCGTTTAGATGAGCTAAAAAAATGAGCTTTAAATGGTTTCATATTATAGAAAAGAAATATTTCTTAGCCAATTCGATTCTCATTTAAAATCCAAAATCAAAAAGATCTCATTACCTTTATAATTTTTATTAGCAAAATTTATTGATGAGGCATTACAATAATAATTATCGCTATTCGTTTTTAATAATAGACATGTAAATGTTTTTCTTGAGAATTTAGCAAAACGAATCATCATAAAATTCAATTAATACAATCGATTAGTCATATTCAATCTATTATCAGAGCAGAAATACACGACACTTCAGTTAAAAATGATTTTTTCCAGCCAATCAAAATGGATAATATACAAAAATTCTTATCAAGAGAACAAAACTCTTCTGTCATTTAGGAGAAGGAAATTTTTCAAGAGAATGCCACCTGTCATAACTATATCAATGTATTAAATAAATTTGATGAATTATTTAATTTAATGTTTACAAAAGCAATTTATTCTTTTTAAATATTTAAAAATACTTAAAATTGAGTATAAACTATAATTAAACAAATTTCGGTAAAACTATATTAAATGAGTTCTTGTATCAATTATAATTACGCATGATTATAGGTATTTAAAGCAGTTGTGTTATTTACATTAATTTTGTAATTATATTCAAATTATTTCTTAATAAAAAATATTAGTTTTAATTCTAAAATAATACTTTAACTAAGTGGAAATGACATAATTAGGAGAACGCTAAAGCCGGGTAGTGCAATTCGGATCGAGTCAATTCAGATATGATCTGGGTTGATTTGATCCGATTTGCAAGTCATTTTCACATGCGAAAGAAAAAAATTTTGTTTATTACAAACATATCGATAAACATTATTTATTACAAGGCAGCGTTGCTTTTTTTAAGAGAGAAGAGGAAGGAGAAGAGGAAGGAGAAGAAGAAGGGAAAGGGAGCTAAGATTATTAAGAATATATTTTTGGTATCAAATATAAGCTATAAGTGTTATAATAACTCACTATTTTTAATACTGTATATTCTTTATAAGTGTTATAATAATAATACATAAGAAATCAATTCTATGCATACTTATCATTTCTAATAGCATATACTTTTCATTTCATTTCTCTACCATATACTCATTCAATATGTATACTCAACATTTCTACAATTTTTTATTTGTTTTTTTTTTCTAGTTTAGTTTGTTAACTTTCTCATTTTACTGCATTATATTCATTCATCATTCTTATTTAAGTTTTTCAATATTTTTACTTTAATTATGTTACAAGTGATTAATTAAAAATATGTAAAGTTATTCAATATTGATATACTATTTAAGATCTTAGAAAAAGAATTTCACAAAAACTTGTGATCATTTATTTTCAATATATAAATATAACATAATAATTAAAAGTATATCAATAATAATTTTTGGATCATTTATATCTGTTATTTTGCAAAACATAATGAATCAAGCACATGTAAAGAAGATATCTCTATAGAAAAATAAAGAAAAATAAGTAAGTATAATTCTGGTAAATATAACATAAAAATTAAGATAATACATATCACTATTTTTCAAATAGTTAAAATTAAGTATTTTAAAAATATGCCAAATTATACATATTTAATTAATAATAATAATAAGATTAAGTGATCTGAGATCATTAAAAAATTAGTAGTTAATGAAGTAAGTAAATTATATACTTCATCTATTATCATAACTATAGTCAAAAAAATCATGAGTAAAAAAGATCTTAATATTATAATTCAAAATCTATACAGAACTGAAGTTATAAATATTTAATAAAAGTTATGCAAATTACTGATGATTTATCTTATTGACAAATATAATCTAGAAGTTAATATTAAAAATACATTTAATTTTTTAATAAACAAGAATTATCAAGTCAAATACTTTTCAATATAAAATAACACATATACAAATATATATAATATTACAGTTCCAGTTAAAAGTAATAATAGTGAATATTTTTGTCTATATTTTAATAATAAAATGGCCAAAACTCACAAAACTTTATAAATATATTTTTTAAAATATTATAAACAAGGTTTTCTAATAGCATAATGCATGTTAGCTTAATAAAATTTTGCAAAATATTGTGTCAAATATGACAGATTAGGTATCTACATGAAATAACTTTGAAAAAAAATTATTTGAAAATATTTTTAATAAGTAATTTTGAAAATATTTTTGTAAAAATATATTT